AACATTCAAATTCAGATCACCGAAAAAGGGGAGAACTACAAACCGAATTTGATATTGGATTGTTCGAATGGAGTTGGAGCGAGTAAATTCCGGGAACTGGTGACACATTTGTTTGAGAAGAGTCTGCATGTTGAGTTCATCAACGAAAAAGGTCCTCTTAATGAAAAGGTGAAATATAATTGCATTGCTCGCGTTTGAGATACACCTGGATTACTTCAAGCATTCTGAAGTGGTCATCATTTGTCATGCATTTATTTTTTTTGAGCCCGTCGAAAGAGTTGCATTTGACGACTATTGAAGAGAAGTTTTTGCGGAACACTGATTTTACCATTTATTTTTTCAGTGTGGTGCTGATTTCGTTAAGATCAGTCAAACATTTCCGCGTGGTTTCGAGAAGGTGAATGCGATGGAGCGTTGTGCATCATTCGACGGCGATGCGGATCGTTTGGTTTATTTCTACAAAAACAAAAACGCTGAATTCGTGCTGTTGGATGGCGATAAAATTGCCGTTCTGATCGCGAAGTATCTTCGTGAGGTTCGTTCTCATATGGATGTGTGGTTGAATATTCAGCGATGTTCAATGAGACTGCATGAAACTGATTTGTTAGCATTTTTCTGCAATATTTGAGTTGATTTCGGAAGAAATTGTTTTACAGTGTACATTCGTTCTTTTTGATGAGAGTTTGAGTTCTTCATCCGCATTATCGAATTTCTGAAACCATTTCAGCAGTTGATTGGTTGCGGACTGGACAAGGAGCTGTCATTGGTCATCGTTCAGACTGGTTATGCGAACGGCAACTCAACCAAATACATTCGAGAGGAAATGGTGAATTTGCAGATCACTTTGCAGTTTTTTGTGCCATTCATAACCAATCAGACTTTTGATTCTGTCGCAAATTTCTTCGATAACATTGGAAATATTATTGATCAGTGAATTTCATTCGATTTTGATTTTAAGGGATTAGAAGTGAAAATGGTGCCGACAGGTGTTAAACACCTGCATCATGAGGCATCAAAATATGATATTGGTGTGTATTTTGAAGCAAATGGACATGGAACTGTCACGTTCAGCGATCATTTTCACGAAATTATTAGCAGGTTCGTTGTTTCATCGAATTGATATTTTGCTGAAGCGATTCATTCATTTATTCATTTGCCAGTATTTGACGACATTGCCAACGTCGTTTTTTCATGCACAGAATATTTGCTCTTTGTTTAGAGAGGATGTTAATGAGAAGATCGAATTGAAACGTTTACGTGGTTTCTCGTCCTTAATCAATGAAGTGGTCGGTGACGCGATGTGTGATTTATTGGTTGTGGAGATTTTATTGAGACATTACGATTGGAGCGTTGATGATTGGGCGCAGAAACTTTACACGGATGCCGCATCGTGTCAACTTAAAGTTAAGGTTAGATCGATCCATCAATTATCTGACTAATTGATCGTAACGCGATTGTTCAGAACTGGAGAAGTCT